CCCGGTAACCACAGTTCTTCCAATCAATATTCGATTTTATGAAATACTGTTATTTAAAAGACAAAAAATAGCAGTAACCTTAGGGAGCTGTCATCATAATAAGACCAGCCATCCCTGTCCTAGGTACCAGCAAGATAAAAACAACAACAAACAGACGATTGTTAAGGAAAAGATGTGGGGGGCAGGGACTGAAAAGTCCTGTTGAAATTGAGAAGCCATAACCCATGTTGGAAGTAAAAGAGGAGGTCCAAGAGGGTTCCAACTTTGAGTTTGAGTTTGGGGGGTACACAAAGGAAATTCAGCAAGAGGAACGAGTGTCAGCAGCAAGGTGATATTTTGGGGACAGGTTAAGAAATAATAGCTAGAAACCATTTTAGTAATTAAAAGCACAAAAAGATGTTCCAAAACTCAAAACTGTGCATGCACATGGGCCCAGAGCAGTCCTATACAGAGCTCATTACTACATAATTCACATGAAGCACACTTCTGATTTATCTAAACCAAGTGGCTTTAAACATTTGAGTAACATTTGGCTGTCTTTTAGATTTCATCTCCCACTCATTTTAGCTCCTCTTCCCAACCCACTGTAATCTGCCCTCCGCTCCCCAGCACTTAACCGAAATCACATGGCAAAGGTTACAAATGATTTTCTTATTGCAAATGCAAAGAGCACTTGAAAAGTATTTTTTATCAAAGTTGTATTTTGTTATGAAAGTCAAATAGTTCCACAAAGTATATAATGTAAAACAGTTTCCAACCCCGCGTCTCCCTATTTCCAATTTTTATTTCGGAAAGGCAATTATAGTCAGCTCTTTTAGAAGCTTCTTCTGGGTCCATAATAGGATTATGCCTATTGTTTCTTCATTTTTGTGTGTGTTCTCATTGTGTTGGACATTTTCCATTTGTCCCTTGAATCTACTCTCTAACCCCTTCCTTGCCCTCTGTTCAGAGAAACTCACCTGTGTGAACACATCAGTGGGTTTATGAATGGTCCCTTTGGCTTTCAGTTGAGTTTGTTTTGGGGACAACCTGAAGAGGACATGGGAGAGGGGGAGGGAAGGGGAGGGAGAGAGTGATCATCACAGTATTTGAACCCCCCTGTGGTTCCCTCCTCGCTGATCGACCCTACCTGGCTGTGTTTTCCACTGGAGGTCACTGCTTCTCTGGAGGAGGGCTACTCTACCTGACCCTCATTCTAAATTGTGGTCCCCATGCACTCCATTTTTACCCCTTTGGGCCGAAGGTCGGTGACTGCAACTGCTAGTAAGTGTTGGGTCACCTCTTGTAGTGCCCCTACTCCTGCACCTTTATAAATTGTCCACCTGGGAATAAACCTTCCTCGGATTATCCCATTTACAGTGTTCTGCTCTGTCCTGTTGTACCCCTACTCGGCATGCTTACTCTGAAAGATAATGATTCAGCTTTCTTACTCCCACTTCCTTGCTACACACACACACACACACACACACACACACACACACCCTCTTGCTGTGGACTGAATGTTTGTCCCTCCCACCCCAATTGTGCTGTTTTTGGAGACAGGGTTTGGGGAAGGTAATTAGGTTTAGATGAAGTCATGACCTTATGATGGGATTGGTCTCTTATAAGAAGAGACACCAGAGAGGGTTCTTTTTCTCTCCTAGAGACGAGTCCTACGATTCATGAGTCAGAAATGGCATTGACTCAGTCCTTTTGTTTTTGCTTCCCTTGGTGCCCCCAAGCTTAGCGCCTCTCCACTAGTAAACTAGCCTTCTGCCAGGGCAAGGAAGTGGTGATCTCCCCCCTACACTGGATGTAGGAGAGGATCTTTAGAATTGCTCCCTTGAAATTTTTCACCTAGGTCTTTTTTTTTTTTTTTTAGTTCAATTATACTTCTACCTTCAGAAGTACCTGGCACCTCCAATTCCCATACGTTTTTGAGGCACTTATATAAATTTTCTGTCTTCTAGGTTGTCCCATTGCAGCTTGGTCCAGCTTAGTTTTCACCTTTTTCTAACAGAGCTGGTTACTACTACTCCTCCGCCTGCTTTCCATTGAGTGTTACTGTGTTCCTGTCATCCAGTCCCCCACTAACTCTGCCAGCAAGGCTATGTTCCTTTTAGATCCACTGACTTTCCTTTTAGTGCACTGTTATTACAAAGTGGTCTTAATTACGTGGGTTCAACCCACCACTTCTAATGAGTGCATTCTTGTTCTCAATTTGCTTCACTTTGCCGCCCCATTTGAAACTCTAGCCCACTCACTGTAGAAACTTAATCATCCTTTGGTGTCTGGGACCATAGCTTTTTTTTTTTTCCTTTTGCCATATCATCTCAACTCCTTTCCTGGGTTCTTTCTTCTTCCACTGCTTTTCCCTTAAATGATGCTGTTTCCCAGGTTTCTGTCCTCTTCTGTTTTCATTTACACATTTTCTATAAACAACCTCATACGCTTGCATGGATTTAACCATTTCCTTAATGTTGTTGCGCCCCAAATCTACACGGTTCCAAACTTACACAAAGCTCTGAAACCAGACAGAGGAAAAGAGGACCCTGTTTCCTTATATCCAAATTAGGAAAAACAAACATATACCGCATCTAGATATTTGGAAGCCTCACTAAAAATTTGAGTTTCAAGTTTGAAAAGAAGGCATTCCATAGCCCTATTGTTTATATTTATCTTGGTCAATCTCCCTCCCCAACTTCAAACATGATAGGAAGCCTGCAAGCGGAAAACAGTTATGAAATATTGCCCTGAAAGAGTCATATAGGTTTATATTCATTCACGTACGTATGTGGGTATTATGTGCGTGTGCACTTTTTATGTTGGATGTGGGACAGTCACAGTCTTGTTGTCTACAAGTGTGTTTGTGGACAGATAAATATGAGCTTCACAGAGCAAGAAATTGAGGACAGGAATTTTGAGTTCAAGTTGAAAGCTCCTCCCTTACATTTTTTATCTTGCTTCCATGAGATACTATATCTTTCCCAGAGATGGGCACTTTCCAACATGTAGATTAACTCATTAGAAATCAAGTGCCACAGAGCTAATGATAAAAAGTAGTATTGAATGGCTGAAGTACAGGGATGCAAAGGATCCAAAAGATCCTAACTCAGGACTGATTTAAGATTTCTCAGGTAATTTTTATACTAAAAGTGTTCTGCAGTTCCTATCTTTCTATCTAAAGTAGCACTCTCATTTTCCACTGTTTTTAATCTATGTTTATTTTATGTGTAACATCTCATAAGCAAATTGTGTGTACATTTCAGTTTCTCCTATTTTTTGTAGCAGAGTGGAATATTCATAAATCATACAGCAAACACATTACACTAAGCCCCAACAAACAACTAGTTATCAGGTTTGTGATATCACTAATTGGCTTAAGCAAGTCACATAGCCAAAGCCACAGTCAATGAGGGACAGGTCTACATAAGGGAATGAATACCATAAGGCATGATCCACTGGGACCACCACTGTTATAATCTGCCACTAAAACCTAGCTAGGAAGTGGCTGATCCAGTTACCAAACTCTCAGCAATCTGTTTTTTGGAGCCCACACACAAAGCTGGTGTCCTAGAGACTGTTGGAGATCGATTTTTAGTGAGGAGTTTTCCAAACCTTTCTTCCCAGGACCCACTCCTAACCCAATGAGTCAGAATTTTGGGGGGGTAAGGTATAGGGGGCTATAAGAGGGTTTCAAAAACAAGAAAGACAAGACACTGTCTCTACACTCCAAGAACTTGGTTTCCATAGAATGCATCTTTGTCACCCGCTACACCAGAGGTCTTGAGATTTAAACAAGAAAACTGCTTTCCGTGTCTGTCCTAACTTTTGTGTGCATCAAAAGTGCACACACGCCCTCCATTGCCTGGAGGGCCTGCGGAAGCACACATGCCCGGGCCTAACTCGCAGTTTCTGCTTCAGGAGGTCTGGGTGGAGCATGTGATTTTGCAGCTCTAACAAGCTCTGCTGTGTGGGGACCATACTTTGAGAACTACTGAGAGCAGGGGGATTTAGTGACAACATTCCTCCCTCTACTCACATTAATATATTGCACTTACATGTTTATAGCATGTCTACTACATGCAAGGGCTTGGGTTGGCTGCAGCTGCAGATACGATAAGGAAAGGATCTGGACCTTGATCACACTTGAGCAGATTTAGTCCCTAAGTGGATGTATTCTCTAAGACAGTTTCAGTTGAAGAGAAAGGAAAGCTTGGAGTAGAAGACTTTGAGGTGGGGTCCTGGAAGATGCCTAGGAACTGGACATTTGGAAATAGTGGGGGATAGCGAAATTCTTTGTTTTGGCATAGAGAACACAAACCTTGACAAAGCACTCAGAAAAGGTTTGTGACATTCTTGCCTCCAACGCTCCAGCATTAACAATCTGCAAGCTGTTGGCATCAGAACAAGGAAGAATGGTCTCCGGGTCAAGCTCTCAGTCTCAAACCCTTCTCGCGAAGGGGCAGAACTGGCCTCGCCCTCTTACTAGAGCTTCCAGAGCGGGTGCCTTAGAGACAGAAGTGTCTGCCCTAGCCCACGGTGGGCGCTGACTTTGCAAAGAGCACAGCATGGGCGCTTCAGTCTCCAAAAGCTGAATAGGGTGCTGTGACCTCGTGAGGTTCGGAGCGGTAGCGCAGCTGTTCGGAGCCGCCTGGCCGGTGTCCACCTGGCCCGTGCCGGGAGAGGGGTGGAGCACACTGGGGCATTGTTCCGAAGGAGCCCCTGATTTAGGCCTGGTGCTAAGGCAGGCCGGGTGACAGCTGCACTACCCAGGTTGGCGAGGGGCTCAAAGCTCTTCCTCGCTATTTACTCTGCTGGACTTCAGGGTGACGGATGCCAGCACAACCCGGTGGCGCCCTCTCTGCCTCCACTTCTAGCACCCGAGCGGGTGGGCACGCTCGCTCTCTGCCTATGGAGATCGCCGCGGGCGTACCAGCAGACTGCGCCTGCGCGGCCCCACCCCTCCCTTGCCCCGCCCCTTCCCTTTGCCCCGCCCCATCACCCCCTTACACCGCCGCTAGGGGTAGCGGCGGTGGCTGTGGCCTGAGAACTTGGCCGCTTCGAGGGCGCAGAAGCTGTTCGGAGTGGGAACTAGGGCTGGCGAGAGGGTGGGAGAGCTGGCGGGCGAGAAGGGCGGCGCCGGAGGAGGGCGGCGCGTGGCTGACTCATCCCCCTGGAAAGGCAGACTGACAGCCCCAAGCCCGCGCCGAACCCGCCCGCCCCGCTTCTCTCTGCTGGGAGGCGCCCGCCCGCCCTCTCGGAGCTCTCCCGGCCCGACCGCCTTAGACAAAGTTTTTCTTTTCCGAGGGACCCGAGGCGCAGCGAGTCTTCTGGAAGGGAACGGGGATCGGAAGAGGAGGCAAGCGTGGTGCGGGCCCGGCAGTGCATGGTTCCCGGCGCTTCGGCTGCTCATCTGGAGGACATCGGGGCGGGGTCGACTGAGCCCGGCTCCCTCTAGCCTTAGCCTCGCCAGCGATCGCCCTCCCGGACTGCAGCGGGGGTCCCCGCGCCCCAACCCGCCATGTCCCGGCTGCTGCCGCTGCTGAGAAGCCGGACCAGGGGCAGCCTGAGGCCGGGCCCGGCGGCCGCCGCCGCGCCTCGCCTGCCGTCCTGGTGCTGCTGCGGGCGGGGGCTGCTGGCATTCGCGGTCCCCGGACGCTCCCCCGTCGGCTCCCGGGGGCTGGGCACCCATCCCAAGAAGGAACCCATAGAGGCGCTGAACACGGCGCAGGGCGCGCGCGACTTCATCTACAGCCTGCACTCCACCGAGAGGAGCTGCCTGCTCAAGGAGCTGCACCGCTTCGAGTCCATTGCCATCGCCCAAGGTAAGGGGGTGGGGGTGCGAGCGGTGAGCCTGGGGACCTGGCGCCCTCCACTGCCCCGCTTGCCCTGGGGCGCCTTGCAGCCCTGGAACGCCCGGGGCCCCACTGCCTAGGACCCTGGTGGCTGCCCCACCCGCCAGCTCCCCTCGACCGCCAGGCCCCGTGCCTGGGACGTCCGAGGGGGTAACTTTACGCCTCCTGAGTGTCTCGGGGGGCGGGTAGGACTGGCGCCGATCGAGCCAGGCACCCAGGGCCAACGCTAGGCTGGCTGCTGGTTCTTCCCCAGCCTCAGAAGCCCGAGCCTCTCAGCCCTCGTTGCCAACTGATACTGTTTTGATTTGCTGTGTGCCTCCCCTCCCCAGCCCTCTTGTCCCTAAGTCCTCGATGCTTTCTCGTGAACGTGCAGCTGTGCAGGTGGCCTGCCTGCGTCCTCCGAAAGTGCTGCAGACCCGAGAGGCAGGAAGAAACTTTCTTGAATGGTTATGAAACGAAGACGTATGGACACCCCTAAGAAGGAATGTTGCTTCCTAGGCGGAGATGCTCTCCGCCGATTGTTTGCGCACACATCTGGTTGTATTAATTTGAGCAGCTGAAGGAAACATTTTCCTGGGAAATGGAAAGACTGGATCAGACCAGCAACTGCAGATACATACTTGTAAGCCCCATATAAGCTCGGTGCTTGGCTAGTTAAACTCCAGTTTTTGTTGTTTCCTCAGAAGTTGAAAGAATGAAGTAAACAAGGTTATTTTCTGGGAAACTGTGGCTCTACAAGAAAAAGCAAACTTCTGCTCAAAAGTAATCTAGAGCGGTGAAAGCAAAGCTATTTTTAAGCCAACATGTTAAAATGGGATATTTTTAAAACCAGTGCAGAATGCTGGTAGGTCAGAATTTGAGTCCAGCTGAAAAAGCTAAAAATCCATGAAATCAAAAGGATGAAAGGAGCAAAGGATAAAATCATTCAGTCTTAAAATATTTTTGCCTTTTAAATATGGTAATACAAAAAATACATTGTTACCATTTTATATTACATTCTGATGTGTTTGGAAAATTAAAAGTCTACTTCTCCCCTAAAGTTTGTAGGTACCATGCTATAGATTCCTCAAGTTTAGAGCACATCGATTTGGAACATGGCATTTGATTTGCCACAGGGTCTTAAAAGTTTTTCTTTGGCCTATGCGCAGGATGGAGGAATTACCCACCACATATTAGCATGACTTACCTATACTGTTGCTACTGCAGGAACTTATTAGTTGTGCCTTTTAACCACTTTTTTTCCCCTCAGTTCAGGGAACTGTGGAGCAATTTATAGTATTTGATAATTCGAGACATCATCTACCCACAGTGTTTTTACAGGAAAACTGTGACATTGCAATGAGTTCATTTATTAAATGTGTAATCATGTTATATGAAGTTCTAATCGAGTGCTAGCATGTTTTGAGTGCTAAGCTATGTGTACTCAGAATGTGGTTTTTAAAATATTCAGTTCTGAAAATGAGCTCCTTGAAAAACAATATAGACACTCAAATGCTGAAGCATTAATTTTAGGAATCTTTCTCTGTGGGCAACACTATTTGAAAACACATTTGACTTTTTCTAAGTAATTTCTCAGAAATGCTGCATTATCATTGTTGCAAGACTGGAGGGCCCTATTAATATAACTTTATGAAAATTCTTGAAGAAGCACTCATGGTTAAATTTTATGTCATACCTATTACACATTACAATAGAGATGCTACCTACACTTTCCAATGAAGGTACTGTTTTTGAATTTAACATGGTTTTAAGTACTCTAGAAAGGACCTATAAACTAGTCAGTGGAGATCAGTTAGCATCAATTATACTTAATAAGTATGTAGTTATATGAGAGAGAAGTTAGTAATTTGTCTTAGTTCAAAATAAACAGGCAAAGGTATAGGAAGCAATGTGGTGGTCAGGTGTTTATCTCCTGTTTATAAACTAAAGATCTTCAAAGTTTAAATCAACTATTTTTGCCAATGTTGGTGACTAAAGTATTGCCCTTTGACTCAAATGACATTTAAATGATGCTACTGCTTTAATTTTTAGGACAGTCTTAGTGTTCCTTATTGTTTTCAATATCAGCACATGTTGTTACTATGGTGATAACAAGAATTCTTACTAATAAATTACCTTATTCATTAACTAAGGTAAAGAGGGTTTTATTATGTTGCAAATGAATACAACTCATTCCATTGCTGAAATCAACATTTCTTTTCCAAGAAGAATGAAAAGTTCCTGTTTTTTTTAATTGTTGCTTTTTGAATATTTTAAATACCTGACTCATATTATATGTGTGTACTTAGTGCATTTTCTAATGAAATAACTTCTGATAAAAGGTCTTTTTCTTATTTTAGGAAATCTTATGTGTTTTTGGGAAGGTTGCTTATTGATCTAATGAAGTCTTTTGGATTTGGTGGAATTTATGGAATGTTTTCATTGGAAACATTACAGGAAAAAAATCATTCATGCTTTGGTATGTCAGTGGAGTCTACTGCTGAAATTGGGCACTTTTGCCCTTATCTCTCTTATGTGTTCATCAGTAGGCATGTGATATGGTCTGTGACAAGATAAAACATTAGAATCCATTTATAATAGATAAGGCCTACCTACATTGTGGGATGTTTCATCATGTGATTTTTAATTTACAAATGATTTCCTCTCCAATTTTAAAAAGTCAATGATGTGTTCCCAACTTACCTGTTCAACCTGATCTTTTTTCGGAAACAGTTCATATTCTCCTGATGGGACATTTTTAGTTCATTGTTTTTACAAGTAGGGCTGGCAAGCAGTCATCATTACAGTTGTCTTTAATTTTAGCCAAGAGTTTTTAAACAAACTGTTAAAAAATCCCCCACTTTTTGCAATTATATTTTCTAACTGTTTTTAAAAACTGGTTCCAGGACCCCTGGATACCAAAGTCTGTGGACATTCAAGTCCCTTATATAAATGGCATACTATTTGCATATGAGCTATGCACACCATCCCTAGATACTTTAAATTCTCTGTAGATTAATTATAATATCTAATCTAATATAAATGCTTTGTAAATAGTTTTTATACTGTATTGTTTAGGGAATAATGACAAGAACGAAAAGTCTACACATCTTCAGTACAAGCGCAAACACCACAGGCCTAACTATATTGTCAGCAACAAGTAACTTTTTTTCCCTAGATATTTTTGCTGTGTGGTTGGTTGAATCCCCAGATGCAGAACCCACAGATACGAAGGGCCAAATGTATAGCAATTTGATTTTTGAAGGATGTGCTGTGGCATTGCTCATTGTATTAGTTATACATTGCTGCATTACAAATTGCCATAACAGCTTAAAACAAATATGTATTGTTTTATACTTTCTGAGGAACAGGAATCCTGGAACAGCTTAGTGAGATGTTCCTGATTCAGGGTCTCTCACAAAGTTGGAATGAACCTTTTAGCTGGGGCCGCATCATTTGAAGTCTTGACTGGGGCTGGGTATACGTTCCCAAGACAGGCTCATTCACATGGCTCTTGGCTGAAAGCCTCAATCTTCTTGCAATGCAGGCCTCTCCCCAGGGCTGCGCCTAAATGTTCTCAAGATTTGGCACTTGGCTTTCCAGAACAAGTGATGACATAGTCGAAGCTGGAAGGCACACTGTTTAATTACCCAATCTTAAAGGAGATAGTCCGTCTCTCTTGCCCTGGTACATTACTTACTCTACAGGGTGTAAAACCAGGAGGCGGAAGTCATTGGGGGGGCATCTTAAGGGCTGACTTCCATACTTATTTAAGGTGTTGTAATTAATGTTTATTGGAGAGTTACATAGAGAAATAAGAGTTGGCCTTTGAGGAGACACAATAAAAGATTTGATTTGAAAAATAGGAGCTTCCTAGGTAATATTTACGTTAAATGTGTACTTAATGTATTTTAAAAGTGGGATTATTTTTACATATAACAAATAAGATGTACTGATGTAGACGGAGCAGTTTTTTAAGTCAATGTTGGATCTTAATCAGTTTGCATTTTTTTCTTTTTCATTGTATAAGTGGTCATTGTATACATTTAGGTTTGCTTTTTACCATTTACCTGACATCCTAATAGACACATCATATAACTTTAAACTATAACCTCGTAGTTGTCCCCTTTTGTGATTATTCAAGGTAGGATGGGGAGCTTTGTTTTGAAACTCCTATATAGCGTAGGGGACCTTTGTCAAAGTGAAAGGCTGGGAGAGAAGAAGCTGACGTAAAAGTAGATACCTAGAATGCTTAAAAACAAGGTTTTTCATGGAATTCTGACCCCCTAGGCATATCGGACTCTTCAGGAGAGTATCTTCATTTTTCTCATCCTATGATCGTTCAGGATTATGTGAGAAAGTAGCAACTGCATTAAGCTATGAACTGTTAACCTGTGGGATGAATTGGAGATAATTTTGGCTTTTGCGCAAATAGGATAAGAAAGAGGGCAGGGAAAACATTTCCTACTGCAAACTAAGATATGTAAGTAAAGATACTTCAGTGCCTTGGTTGAAATAGTAACAAAGGAATACGGGAAGTGTATCCCCAGCTAGACGCGGCAGGATGAGGTCGGGAAGGGCGAGTCGAGTCAGGAGTAGCGAGAGATATCTGATAAGCTGAGAGCGGCTGTATCTTGGGCCTAGATGTGTTCCATGAAGCTTTGCCATGACCAGTTATTTTAACAGAGTAGAAATAAACTAATTATATCAGTATATTTCAACAAGCTTAATTCTGGATACTTTATTACTGGGCATATTGGAGTGGCCCCTGTTACTAGGGATTACTGCCAATAGAGAACAGGTATCACGAATTAAGATTTTTTTGCATTTTAAAATGGGTATATGCTGTTTAACAATCTTTAATAATCACTTACATATAACTTACTATCTGGAGCTATGTGTGATTTAAAACAACCATTCTATTGTATCTCTTGATTTTGTGGATCAGGAATATAGTCAGGGCTCAGCTAGATGATTTATCAGTTTTGTGT